ATAGCAAATAGTGAGAAAGTTATCGCAGGCAAGTCACCAAAAATAAGTTTGGGGGAGTGAACAAAATTGACTCAGTCTGAATTAAAAATAATACCTCATCCTCAAAACAGATCTTTAGCATTTCAACAGGGTCTAAGCCAAGGAACTAGCAACTCCACCTATTGCAAACATGAAGCCCAGGGACTTGGTTGCAGAGGAAGCAGAAATTTTTGAAGTCAAAGTGATGCTAGTATCTCTTTTGTTCCAAAATTCACCTTTCTTCCTCAAAGAATCTAAATTCCATAAAATACTTTCTTTTAAAACTCAGTATTTAAGATCAAAGGAAATTATTAAAGAAACTTAACTAAAAACCAAGCAATACAAGTACCCTATAAATACCAAGTCACAGTTAAATTAACACATCAATCTCAACACTGAACTTATCTGAATTTAATTCATTTTAGAGAGCTGATACTCTTGATAATTTCTAAAACGAACTCTAGAAGGTGTCTTGTAAGTCTGAAGTAAACAGCAACCAAATTCTCTGTGATTCAGGGCCACTTCAAGGGTTTATTACAAGAAACAGTTGATGTAAGAATTGGCTACAACTCAGAATCAATTAAACACCTTCCTTAAAACTCCATTTTCAAACTTACCCTCTTGTTCTTAATCACAATAAGTTACAATATCGACTTCAATGGAACACTCCTGCTCAGCTGAAGTCTACTTATCAGACACTTGCTAAGACCAAGCTTACCAGAAGCTACAAGTTTTGTTCCTCTCGTGACTTTTAGATGTGAATACATTTCATCAAGTTTACTTTCAGTATTCATTAAGCTTACATAATCAAGAGTGGAAAAAAAAAAACCAAACATGGAGCTATTTTCAAACACCTTTTCTCCCTGGCCTTTGAAACACATGCATGCACACCCACGTGCGCACACACACATACAATTCCGGTTGTTTCCACATTTGTTGTGTTTAAGATGAAAAACAGAACTCTTCTGTCCAATGAAGAGAACAAAAAGACAACAGTAGGAGCAGAAAAAGGGGAACATGGGAGGAAAAGAAGCCTTCTCTAATCTTGTGATACAGAAGCTGGAACCACAGTCAAGAAGCCCAACCTTCTTTCACCATCTCCATACTTCTCACCGCAAACCTCTTCCTGAGCACATTGTGAGGGGATACGTGGTTGCAGTTTGCCAATTCAGGTCATGCATCCCCCCCCAAAGCAATGAGGTGCCAGTTTTAAGAAAACCCTGAACTTTTTCTGACTTCTCAAACTTTCCCTTTGTTTCCTCAAGCGTTTGGACTGCCCAGCCTCACAGATCCACCTTCAGAAGACCCTGAGATAAGCAAAATGTAAAACCAGAGTTAACTGCAAAGCCCAGTCTAATCAAGACTTGCACCAATTCACCCTTAGACGGGTGTAAAAAAAATAAATTCTGTGCACGACAGTATTTTTGGATGACTTCAGGATTTTAACTACTACAGATAGCAGAAGCTTGGCTCTTTCTTCCTCCCCATCTTCCAAGATTACAGCTGACTGTTACAGTTTACTGCTTTCTGGAGAAAGCTGGTTATGCCTCCCCTGGATAAGAGGTCTTGTGGTGCAATTTTACCTAGGAAGATGTTTAGTATGACATAATTCCTATGACGACAGGATATGGATGAAAAATAACACATACAACCCACCACCAGAATTTAGTTGGAATTTAAGTTCAGAATGTCACCTATACTATCAAATTTCTCAAGACAAGACTAATTTTAAGTAAGAATTTTAATTCTGGATAAGATCTCTATTCTCAAACTTACTTCTCAAGAATGTCACCTATACTATCAAATTTCTCAAGACAAGACTAATTTTAAGTAAGAATTTTAATTCTGGATAAGATCTCTATTCTCAAATAAGCTCTTTCTTTCAATATCCCTCCCTCTAACCCAGCCTTGTTCCCATCTCCATACTAGAGGAGCCATACACAGTGTATTTTCTCTCATCAACTTATTTTAAGCTTTTTTATTCGCCCACATATTTAACACCAGCTTGGAAGACTTATAGACACTGACAGAAAGGGTCCAAAAGTGATGGCTGCTATTTCCAAGGTAACTGAAGCCTGTCATCCCTTTGCCCCAAGTGTTTGAAAGGAAAAGGCTGCCTGAACACAGAGGTAATCGCTTCTTCAACTGCCTGGCACCTCCATTCACCAGCTTCTGTGCAAGCTGGGGAAGGGACACAAATCAAAGCACCGTCACGCTCCTGCTGTTACCATTTGCTTCCCTGGATGCTTCAGGGACAAAGTCAGTGGTATTACCAAGAAGGAGAAGGGATCCAGTGTGTTGGAAGTGATACACGATGTGACCAGAGATCACGACCCAAGCCACTTCCCTGCCATGTGATCCTGAGCCTGGTACTTTTCCTCGCAGGGAAGAGCTCACCCAGGGCACACGTGCAGGCACCTCTGAACCTGCAGAGGTTCTTCCAGCCCTGGGCACATTCAGCATTTTTCAGATCAGCTTTCACACCTCTGTAATTGGGGGAAATCTGCACGGCAGCAAAGGCAATGGGCACTGCATGGCTTCCAGAAGACAAACACTAGTTTGAGTCACAACTACAAAGGCCAAACACAATTTTTACATTCTCTAGGTCGGGGGCTTCTAGCCTTGGAGTGCCAGCAATAGTCCAGCCTTGGGAGAAATACCTGCAACTGTCCAAAGCATCTATCATAGCAGTTGGGCATCAGGATATATTCCAACCGAGTCCCCAACACTCCAGACTTAAGAGTGTACCACCAGCACCATCCAGCCTAGTCTAAGCCACCAAAGAGCTCCCTTTGATGAGAGAAATTCATCAAAGACTAGAGATCTTGTTCCTAACGTGTAGCTGTTATACCCATCACACACATCCTCACTGCCTTAGAGGAACAAAGAAAAGTCAGGACTAAGAAAAAGCTGATCAGGGTTAGTAGAAAAACTTTCCAAAGAGTGTGTGAGGACCATAGCCATAATTTTGACGTCCTCATGCTTTTGTAGAACAGCAACTATCTTTGGCTCCCAAGCAGGAGAGCGTTTAAGGTGGAAGTTACGCTGTTTTGACCAACTGGTGTTCATAAGTTAAAGAGAACCGTGGTAATTTCTTGCTCAGATTGTCTTGTATACTACAGCATATATACTGGGATACTCAAAGCTAACTTACAAAAACTAGTTTCATGGCTCAGACAAGTTTTAAAAATAGTTGCTGACAAATGAAAGGGTTGTAAGCACTTGTGATCAAGAAGTCAAATTGTCACCTTATTCCCAGCAGTCTACGAAGCCCTCAAAAAAATCAATCAAAAAAGCAAATTACCAAGTACAACCTGACTAAACATGCTGGTTAAAACAGGCAGTAAGAAAGCACAGAGCTGAAACCTGGCTTGTTCACTTCCCTGGCAAGAGAATATGCACAGGGCAAACTGGGACAGCCACATCCAAGGAGGGAGAGTTCACTTCAGAGCCAAGAGGCAAAGAGTACTCATTACCACCATCTCCTTGGGCTTTTCCAGTGAACCCTCAAAATAAATGCTGCTGCAGCATTCACTGAACCTGCCCACAACTTGCCTGAGCCAGGACTCCACACTCAGAGAAACATTAAAATCTCAAACATCAGTAAATTGGAGATTGATAGAGTCTTTGCAAACTAATACAAATGGAACCAGCTGGTGACAATAAGCCGCATTGAATCTCTTTTAAAAATCAATGAAATGGAAAGCTGCTTACTGAATCACCTGATAAAATTAATTAGATAACCAATTAACAGCTAACTAATAAAAACACAGGAGTCCCACTTCCTCCTGGAAATCACACCACCAAACCCAGTCTGCAGGCTGAAAGCTCTGCTTATTTTTCAGCCCAAATCCAGAGCTTCTTCCCTAAGTATGTTTTATACCCATTCCTTCAACCAAGGAGCAGTTTCCACTTTTCTTTTAAAATGCAGCAGCAAAAGAAGAGACTACCAAGAATCATTTTGATGAATGCAGCATTTCCTCTGCTGCTGAGCCTGGCTTTAGTGTCCTTCCCACAATTTTTGCCACCATACCCATCTCTAAAAAGGCATCTTCATCCCTAGTCCATTACCACCAGGCCTGCCCCCTTCCTTCCTGAACTGTCACCACTGGACAACAAAGCAGTTGGGATTCACGCCACACTTTCTGTGGCTATTAGTTCAAATATGTCCTTATGTGGGCAGGGACATGGGGGAGAAGGAAGCAGAAAACTCATGTTTGGTCTCTTGTCCCAAAACTGTGTTGGTGGTTTAATCTTTTCCAAACAAAAATAATGAGAAAGTATCCTTCCATCCCCAAAGGCAACTATCTAAGCACTGACCACCACAAGATGCAACTGCTTCATACAAAGGAGAAGACAGCATCACACAGTCTCCTTGGAGGACATGGGCACCAGGACCACTTTCTGGATTTCAGTAAGAAATAAACACAAGACAGGCATCCAGGCTGGGGCACTCCCAGAGAGATACCGAAGCACAACTGGAGGTATTTAAGGACACTCCAGAATCAAGCAAGAAGGTGCCTGTCCCACTCAAGAATTCATAAAGCAGCAACTGAACAGGGCATTTAAAGAAAAAAAAAAACCACAACCTGTATTTTGTTTTGCAGGCAAGCTGCTGCCCTGCAGGGTGCTTCAGCTGGCCAGCCTTGCCCTGCCAGCATCCCAAGATTCAGGTCATGGAAAGATCAGTCCAGCCCACCCCCAGCCCCACCTCCCCACAACATGAATTGGCATTAAGTTTTGCAGCCAAACCCTGCGATCAAGGTTTGTATCCTTAAATTCCTCTTGCAGTTCTAAAGAATTTAGTTTGTTTTTTTAAAATTCTCTTAGTGCCCATGTCCTGCTTCAAGAGGTCTGCCTTTTAATAATGGGGGCAAATCAAAAAGTATCTTTATCAGGGATGCAAGGCTTACTACAAGTAAGAATATGTGTGACAATTACGGACAAGTTCTCCAAAACAGCTTCACAAATATCTATTCTGGTTTTTTTTTTTTTTCTCTATTTTTATTGAAACTTTGTACAGAAGTTTTAAACATTTCCATACAATACTTTTAGACAGGACAAAATGCCATGGTAAAGGAATGTAAACTGCAAGAAACACAGTCTGAAGTATCCAAATACTCTCTAATAAGAGTTTTAGTTTGAAGACTAATGCAGTAGGCAAAATAATATGCATACAGTATACAAAGAACAGTATACACAGGGCCAGCAATGCTAACTATGAAAATTTTGCATCAGATTTACTTCAAAGATTTATAGCAATATGATAATTCTATACACTAGACCAAAATTAATTTATCATACATCGTTTCTATGACAAAAAGCTTGTCATTATGGACAGTAGCAACTTACAATATAATTAAGCTGTATTAATCTCATTAACACTTCTAAATCTATATTCCTACTACAATATTTTTTTTTCAGTATATTGTCTTATAAGATCTTAACAGACCTTTAAATAACACTTTACCAAAAGAGACCTGGATCCATTATAGTGATCTTATCTACATGCCCATTTGGCTTATTTCAAAAAAAACCAAAAAAAAACAAAGGACAAGGAAAAAGGCAGGTTTCAAATGCTATATGATATCATTTGGTTTTGGTCTGAAATGTATTTTAGTTGAATAGTTAAAAAAAACAAAAAGGCAGTTCATTAACTGGTATTTTATATAAAATCTGCAGAAAAATACAACAGCAACAAAAAACAAAAATACTTCACAGATATCTGAAAAAACATTATATCAGAGATACAAGGTAAAGCAGCATCACTTTGACACTGTGCTTTAAAAATAAGAAGATGAATGAAGAGACTGCTCTAGTGATATTAGAAAATTTGCTTTCTTCTTGAAGAAGACTACTAACATTTTGCACAGCAACTATTTTTATAACCACCTCATTTAAAAACGTGTATTCATAGACACAGAGAATTGTCATATCATTACCATTTTTGCTCAAAGTGTCTGACTTTACACAGTGAAACTGATAATGCTAAGTGTCACCAGATGTCACTATACTATGAATTCAATATTAGAACAGAAGTGAAGCAAATGCCTTTAAACCAACACCATAAAAGAAATAATAGAAAGTGTTTTGTAAACAAAACAAACCACTTTGCAAAACAAGAGAGTTCAGAGATCTCACAGTGAAATCAGAATCCTAATTATATATGTTTACATTCTAGGACTACTCTTTACCTTAGGCCAATTAAAGCACATTAAACCATTTAATTATATACAAACATTTTCTTTAAAAAAAAATTAAAACATTGCACACAAGTCTGCTTTTTAACATCACATAACAAGGTTAGTTTTATTTTCAAAACAATTACATTTAAGGGCACAGAACATACAGAATACCAAATTAACAGATGAGTATTTTTGCTTCGCTATACATGCTAAATCCAAAGATTTCCTCAAGAAAGCTAGAGTTGCTAAGCTCTAACTTCTTCCAAGTATCCTGTTCTCTGAAAAGGGAGCATCTCCCAACACCTCCTTTATCTTAGGATTTAAAAAAATATATATATAAAAAAAATAAAGCTGTACGTTTTAAAGTTGTAAGCATTTTCTGCTTTAAGTGTTCACGCAGAGATCCTTTGATGGCTCTGCCCACTTCACTGTAACCTTGTGAGAAATCCTTTTCACTACTCAGTTACAGTACGCTCATGACTTGCATCAGAAGTCTCATGCTGGCCCTTCTGGGTTTAGGGTAGAAAGGGGAACACAGAAGTTGAGAAGTAGAAAATACACAAGCGGTATATTGAAGGCCATTTTAATTTCTTACAATCTCTCACCGTTTCCTTTCAGGTATGAGTAAAAGCTAACATGAAAAATAACAGAACCAACAAAAATCCCCAAACTTTGGCAGAGAAAAGCATCAAATCATTCATTTTAAAAAAAAAATTAAATAAGAACAGTCTCCCAGAGCATACTATTAAGCTCTCAAGAAGCCACCTTTTTTTTTTTTTTAATAAAAGGTTTCTTAAACTTCTGGGAGAAACTCAGATATCTTAACAGAAAAATAAGTTAATGGAAACAACAACAACAAAAAAGGTGTCATTCCAAAATAAGTTTTTCAAGACTGTCATTCTAAGCTCAAGGCAATAAATAAACCAATCGCTGCAAGACAGAAAAACGTGTCCTCCTGGATCTATGCCTGCATGACTAGCCAGTCCTACCAAGGAGGCCAGGCATTAAAATTTATGGAACTGATTGTCCACTGTGGGAGACACTTCTGTAGTTTTACCGGACCGAAAAGTTGGTGTTTAAACCAAAGTTGTATTAACCTGGGTTAATACCCCTTGCACACAGACCACACAGATTAGCAAAGGCATGTTTACGCTATAAAAAACCCTCAAGCAACTTCTTCTGCTAAGGTCCATAACACAGGGCAAAGCACTTGCTCACCAAGACCGTTTGCTTGAAGCCTTGCAATTTTTTATTTTTTTTCTTTAATAAAGGCCTTTTATTAAGTGGTTATACGCAGCAAAGGACATTAGCAAGTTCTATGATGTCTAAGACATGAAAACAGAATACGACTGAAGAGGCCGGCATTAGGCAGAGAGTAGCATAGAAACACGTTTTTAAATGACTTGAGAAAAAAAGCACTGGAGAAATAATTTGCTTAAAAGCTTCCTCACAATAACAAGTCTAAAGATGGGGGGATGCAAAGTATTACTTTATTAAGATCCTGACTGACTGCCAATTACTACTGTGATTAATGCGGCAACTTGTTAGTTTTACAAGAGTGAGAATGCATTAACTGGGAGATGGGAGTATCTCAGATTCTGCAGTCAAAGGCTGCACTGTACGTTTGTCAAGGATTATGACTCCCAGCCACACCATGGATCTGACTGTAATTATACTGCACAGGAGACAGGCAGTATCACATCTTTAAATAGCAGGTGACTTGGGTTGGGGAAGAGAGGAGGGAAAAAGCCATTATAAGTAAACCACTCTTCTGGTGGCAATAAAAGCCATGCCTTCAGCTTCATAACCACATAAGGCACCCTGGGAAAAAAAGCAAGCACAGATGAAGCAATGGCAGCCAAGCAAAAGGGTCCCTGAGCTAACCTGGCTTCACAGGTTAGGTGGCAATGCATTTGTTAATACTGAGAGCAAAGAGGACCGGTCTGAAAAATTCAAGTACCAGTCACTGATAGAAAGACATGCCAAGTTACTAAGGGACAGTGCCTGGTACACGAGTCTCTCTTTCCCTGTGCCAAATTAGGCATATTAGCCAGATCCCAGCATTTTCAAGAAGATGTTATTGGACTGAGATTTATCTTTACCCTCCACAAGTTTTTATTTTTCAGCCCACTAAGATCAAATTTTGCCCTAGATTACTTTATTCTGTATAGAAGCAATTAACTGTTTTATATCATTGTTAAAGTACCATCCTTCCCAGCTCGGCCCACTAATGGTTTCACTTGAGATGCCATTAACATATTTCATACACTACAATTTTACCATTAAAAAGAATCTAAAATATTCTTCTCAACAAAGCCAGCCACACAACCGTAAGATGATGTGTCTTGTCACACTTGTATCAACATCAAGACTAAAGTATGGTAACTCCCCTCTTCTACATGTATCACACCACCACTCCTGCACTTATTACTGTATTTCCAGTTAAGAGTAGTCCACTTTCCAGCAGCAATAACTAAACAACGTGGAGAAAGGTGGGGCATCTTGGCCTCTGCTTAAAAACTCGGAATGAATAGATTCAATTGATTTAAAGACAACAACAAAACAAATAAACAAAAAAAAAAAAAAACCCTACAAACATGGAAGTTGGTCATTTTATATGGAAATATGTATCATAGCATACTACTAAAAGCTGTTTGGACGGCCTGCAGCTTACAGCACCACTGCACTGGAAAGCAAACTTTCTCCAGCAGTCAAAGGCAGGATTAACCCAAGTTTCATCTCTACAGAACTAATTCACCTGTAGGGACTGGTTCCCGTTTATGTGCCAAGGAAACATTGCTGGACCCGTGAATCAATGCCATTGGACTGTCAGCATGGTCCCTCAGACCGTTTTTGGCTTAGCCAGTTTGTGCTCTGCCAAACAAGTCCTGAGACAAGCTTGGGATCAAAGACAACTGGAGGAATTATTTTCATGGGAAGCCTGGATATGACCTCTCTGTCCTGGAGGGTAAAAGGAGTCTAACACTACTAGTACAGCCACATGCTGTCAGCTGATCTCTGTGCCCAAAACCAGGCTCTGACTTGGTTTAAGCCTAAGGGCTAGAGCACCCAGGGTGGCAACACATTCTTCTGCTTCACCAAGGGGGAAGTGGGCTGAGCTCTGCGGCTTTTTGGTCTGCTGAGCTCCCACCAACCTGCTGCACACATATGCCCTCCACACCTGGCAACTGTTCATCCCTGCCTCAGGCATCCATCCTTTGGGAGAAAAGAACCTCAGCATCTCAAGACCTACTGATCATCTGTGATCACCTGGGAAAAGTTTTACTTTTTTTGAAGAATCTTAAGGGCAGACCTTAATTGCCGACACAGATTACAACTGCACACACTCTATCTCCTGACATAAAATCCCTCAGGAGTCATTCCTTAGAAAAACAAGGTTTGACAGGGTGAAAGGGGAAGTGGGAGAAGGCATGAGGCAGAAAGACTCTGAAAAAATAAGGTCCACTTCCAACTCTTTCCCCCACTTCCTCTTCCTCTTGTCTTTCTACTTGCTTTTCTCCCCTTACAGACTCCGTATGCAGAAATGGCAGGGCTGCAGAGTATTTCCTTCTAGACATACACAGCAGAGGAAGAGTTATTTTTCAGTGTGCTTACAAAACTGAAGACATGCAAAGTTTCACACGCCTCTTTTTCTCATGTGGTAGAACCTATGTACAGATTTTTCTAAGGGGCCAATACTAATTAGGTCCTCAAGGTTTGGAGGCTGAATAGGCTGCATATACTTTCTTATCTCAATATACTACAAAACCCAAATAAGGAGTATTTCTTTTTTTCCTTTTTCCCCTTCTCCTCCATTGCCAGTTTGTCATTTCCAGAGTTTAATCGTTTGGGTTATTTTTTCTTTTTTTAAATACAGCAACTTTTCAGCAATGGAATTTACAGTGGATAAAAATCAAAAGACAAAGATTTTCTTAGAAAAAAAAGACAGAAAGCTACTAACAGCTATTATGTTTTAAGCACTTCAAGATGAGACAAAATGATGAGACAAAATATATTCCTGTTACTGAGAAACGAGAAACTGAAAAAAAGCCAAACACCTAGAAGCAGTGAGCAAAATGAAAAAGTGCTAATTTGGCCAAGGTAATACAGCTATGTTACAAAGAATGACTACACAGCAATGTGCATTGCAGCCCTACATTCAAAAAATCTTTCAACACAGCTTTAATCATTTAGATTTTACACATCGATAAATGATTACTTGGTTATCTTCACCTTAACGCTGGCTGAGCTCTGTTACCACCTGACTTCAAACACAGCCACCTGCCTGCCTTTGGTATATTTATACATGTATACATGGAAAAATAAAAGGTTAGTACTGCAAATGGAAAAAAAAAAAAAGACAAAAAGGAAAAAAAGAAAAAGACACCACATGACACTTCTGCCTTCAGCAGAGATAGGACAACATGTCTCAAATGGTCTCTAAATAGGCTAAAGTTGATCTTACAATTATAGCGTAAACAATGCCTGGGTTGTGGTTATGTTATTTGCAAAGGAAAAAAAAAAAGCACTAAACAAACAAAATCTCCAGAGACCTGTATCAACTTCTGTATGTTTAGCCATACCCTTAAAAGTTCACTATTCACTCACAAAGAGAAATAGACAAACATGAATATTCCAAGCGAACAGACACAGACCAGTCCAGTATTTAGTAATAGTTTAACTTTTGGAGTCTCTTCCAGCATTTGTAAACAGACAGTCTCTTCCTCAATCTCCCGAACAGCTCTCTTGTTCATGGTTTTACTTTTAAAGCCACAGAACCAATCTATGAATTTCAAATGTCTCTCTCTATCATCAGTCTCTTCCTCGTGCTTTTTCTCCCCCATCAAAGCCGCTTGTCCGTTCGAATAACAATCAACTGGCGTCTCGACTTCAGAGTGACTCACAGAAATCACCGGGTTGCTGTCATCTCTGCAAGTAACCAGAAGATTGATATCCTCCGGCTTAATATTTTTAATATTTTCTTCAGATTTCCCGTTTGGAATGATATGGTTAGCGTTTTCATTGCACTTGAGGATGCTCTTTTCTTGCACTTTGTACAGCTCCCCCTTTGCAGCGTTCTCTTTTATGTTCCTGTTTTTCACGGCCCAGAAAGTAGTCGTCCGAACCTGCTCCTTTGTAGGCGGAGGCGTGAGGAGGCTTACTACAAAGGTGACAATCCCAGTGATCCAGAACAGAGCTGTCGCAACGTACATGTAATGGATGTTTTTGATAAAGCTTGGCCTAGTATCCGGCTGGTTACACTCCGGAGCACGATAGATAAACGCCAGTATCAACCGTATCGCTCCAAGAACAAACCCGGCCATTCCGCCATAGAAAGCCCCCTGCTCATTACAACGCTTCCAAAAGATCCCCATAAGAAACAGAGCAGCCACTGGCGGGGTCAAATAGTCTGCTACCTCTTGAATATAAAGGTACATCTGACCACCTTGCATCTCTACAATTATCGGGACCCAGGCAATGCTTATAACTACCATGAACGCAACAAAGACTCTTCCTACAATCATCAGTTCTCTGGACGTCGCGCTCTTCCGAATGAGTTTGTAGACATCAAGTGTGAATATGGTGCTGGCACTGTTGAATATCGAGTCCAAGTCACTCATCAGTGCAGCAATCATCACGGCCATCATCAGTCCCCGCAGACCAACCGGCACAAGTTTCATCACCAGACGTGGGTAGGCGATGTTAGAGCATCCAGCTCTGCTCCCGCAGACTTGGAAACAGTGTTCTGGATTAATGCAGGCGATATCATCCGCAAACAGTATTCGTGAAATCATCCCTGGGACAACTATAATAAACATCGGCAGCAGCTTTAAGAAGCCTGCCATCAGAGTGGATCCTTTGGCATGAGCAATGTTTTTTGCAGCTAAGACTCTCTGAACTATGACTTGATCGGCACACCAGTACCAGACAGAAGCTGGGGTCTGTCCCAACAGAAATCCAGGCCAGGGAATGTCTTCATCTGTTGGCTCGCGCAACATTTTAAGAGCATCAGGCTTTGGGTTGACATTGCAGGAATTGGTATTGGAAATGTTGTAGGTCAACAAGATAGACGTAATATTTGGTGACGCTAACATGTACCTTCTTTTAACTTCTTCAAACCCACCAACCTCCGTAATACTTATGATCATAAGTGTGAGGGCACCAATAATCATAAGTAGAGCTTGAAGGGTGTCTGTGTAGATGACAGCCACAAGACCTCCAGTCACAGTCAACAGTGCAGTCATTCCAATAAGGAGGATAACTGACAAATAGAGGTTCCAGCCTAGCGATTCTTGAATAAAAAGTGCCCCTGAATACAAGTCAACTGAGAGTTTGGTGAAGATATAAAGAATTAGAGACAATGCTGCAAAATATATTTGAATTCTATGCCCTCCAAAACGCTTGGACAAGTATTCAGGCATGGTGTACACTCCCGACCGGATGTAGACTGGGACGAAGACCCATCCTAAAAGCTGCAAAAGCATTAAGGCGTTGAATTCCCATGCACCTACTGCAAATCCACTCGCCGCTCCAGATCCTGCGAGCCCAATGAAATGTTCACTTCCAATATTGCTCACAAATAAAGATGCACCAATAGCTACCCAGGTCATAGAACGCCCTGCCAAAAAGTAGCCACTTACGGTGCTCCGATTGTATTTCCACATGGCAAAAAAACCTATGCACATTACAAGCACGAAGTACAGTGCCACAATGGCAATGTCTGCTGTTTCCAAAGAAGCCCTCATTTTTGTAAACAAAATGACTTCGCACAGCTGACGTCCACTTCTCGCCCCCCAGCAAACGTCTTTTAAGCAACACGTGAACCAGTTAACATATATCAACACTGTGGATCAAATTCTTTGTCCCTTGGTTTGCTGTCCTGATGCTGGTGGTTGTGGTACATTTACTTTCTCCGCTTCTCAAATGGAAATTTGGAACTTAGCACGCACTTTTAATCCACATTCCACAAGAGCATCAGCCTTAACTCAGTTGATGTAGGAGAAATTCTTAGTTGCAGCTAAGTTTAGTGAGGCCTACTGTACCAACCCTGCAAGGCAGCAAAGACAAAAGACAAAGATTGAATTAGAGAAGAATTTCATGAAGTAATGAGAAAAAATTTGAAGTCTAGTAAAACAATGACCGAACACCACAGATTTTTTTTCCCCCTTATATTTCCTGCTGTATTTATGCAATCCACAATACATGTAATTAAATATTTGTACAACTAAGTAGTAATGCCTATTATAAGTCAACTTTAATGTTTACAAGTACCTTAAGGACGCAGCAATTCTAGCATATTAAATGACCCAAATTCCCCAGAACAAGACAAGGAACAGAAATACATTTTTTTTTTCCTTTAGAGTCTCACAAGTCTACTTCTCAAGCCACTAAACAGGCATTCCTTTTTCAAGTTATCTTAAGGGGAGAAAAAAAACAAAACAAAACAACACAACTGCAAAAGAGTGTTAACCTGGCTAGTCATCTCCTGTATGGCTCTAGCACTGCACTCCACAAATCTTGATAGATCCTGACGTCACATGCACACACTTGAGACACTGGCTGGCTGCTAGACCTACAGTCAAAGTGAAGTCATAGCGCTGTTGAGAAAGACCATGAATTGAAGATCAGCTGGAGAATCATGTTATTCCACAGGTTTTACATGAGCTTGCACCTGTCTGGGTTACAGATGATCACAGGGTTACATTTTACTCTGAAAGCTCTTCATACATATCCTACATAATCCAAGTGAAGAAAAATTCCCATTCAACCACATGACGAAAGCAAAATTACACCTATCATCCCGCTCTAGGGTATTTCTGTCTGCCATGTGCCTTTTGATACCCTCACTCGCATGGTTTCAGGATGTTTTTGGGAGCACTCTATGCACGGGAGGGAGAACCAGATGGATTTTGGTAGCAGTCAGTTACTAGGATGCCAGGAAGCACTGTTCCATGCACCATCCATTTGCATCCAAGCATGGAAGGGATCACGTTAATATAAGAGGCAGAAGGTTTTGAGGTAAAGCATACCCTGCTGCTCTATTCCTGAACCCCCAATCACACTCAATTCTACCAAAGTATGTCAGGAAACAGGCACTCATTTAGGCAAGCAGGACTGAAGCACTCAGAGTGGAGGGAAGGGGATAATAAAAAGACTTGCCAGAAGATAACCAGACAGGTGGGAAAAAGAGGCACTGAAGAGTTGCACAATGGCTCCTACCTCGGCCATGGAGGTAGGATGCTTCTATCTCCTATTTATGCCTTGGGAGGCATCGCTTACCTATACCCACTCAAAACCATTTAATGGGTTTAGAGAGTGTTGGACATAAGATTCTTCTACTTCCTACACTGAATGGGCACAGCAAGAGAAAAAAAGATCAAAGCAAAGAACCAGTTTAGTCTAAAGATCAGAACACAAATCTTTAGTATTCAAGATTATTACAGAAAAGTAAGGAACGGGATCTGACTCCACTCCCCCTTCCCAACCACTAATAAAGGTAAACAGGCACAAAAATCACTGGATCTTTGTTCTGACCATAAGGTTTACCAGCCTTAAAAGTCTCACAAGCATCAGCTTCAGGCATTTCCCATTGCACTTCATCTGCAGAAGCATTTTGGCACTATGCTGAAGCTCGCATTTCCCTATTAATTCATCTACGATTAATACAAATGCCCAGGTAACATATTCTAGTATTTGGGTGGTTTCTTGTTTAGCATCACTGTAGCATTTTCATTTTGTTTAAAAAAAAACATTAAAAATTAACAAAAGATTTTGTTAAGATTGAGAATGCACATGCTCCCCCCTCTGCCTTACTTTGTGCATTACTGAAGGCAGCAACAGTACTCACATAATAATGGGCACTTCTCGTTAAGGCAGATGTATTTTTGAAAAAAAAGCTTAGAGCAAGCCACATCTTCAGCCTTAAGGAGAAATTCACAATTACGTTATTTGTACAAGCTGGCTGTTTTTCAAAAGTATTTCAGAATCAAAAAAGATAATAAGGGTTCCCCATCACCACCACAAACCCACATAAGAACACAGATACTCATTCTGCTGGAGTTATAGCCAATGATGAGAGACTACGGAGACGTGGCACAAAATGGACTGATTACAGTAGCACACTAAATTTATCATGCTCATAAGCCTCAAAACCACAGACGTATTTAAAATTCTTCCACAGAAGAATTCACATTTATCCCCACTCACAAGTGCAGCAGAAGTTAAATAGTCTATTAGTTTAATCCAACACAAAATTATAAACACTTCAGATCATATGATGCCATCAAATACAAGTATAATGTACTATTCTTAGTTTTAAGCACTTTTCAGTAACACTTTAATAGCGCTGCATCTTTTGCTACAATCAGCTAAATTTTCAAATGCAGCTACATTATAATGTTTATACAGAAACTATAAATATTTTAAGGAAAAGGGAAGAAGAGATTTTACTGAAACAGTGAAAAGAACAACTGCTATACAGAAAATCACAATAATGGGCAAGCTAAAGAAATAGTAATAAGTGATATTTTCCCTCTTCTATTGTCCTGCTGTTACTGAAAAATTATAGACTTGAACTTTAGTTCACTTCCCAACATCTTCCCTGTAAGTTAATCAATGACCTTGCAAAAATCACACTGTACAGTAATAATGTATAAACACAAAAATATCTGTTAAAACTAGGTCTATTTGATGGAAGAGGTATCCAGCTCATACTATGACTATTAACAGCACTTTCAATCCCTCCAAAAAGTGTGTAAGTAGAAGATGCAGCTGCCCTTGAATAAATTGTGACATTTCTCAATTAGGATATTTGCCAAACTACTACGGGCTCATTCTAACCAAAATAAACAATACGTGAAGTATCTTGAGCATTTTCCACTGGAAGGTACAGCTAGACCATGCCTTTGAAATAATCAGCCTACAGAGACCTGAACCATCACCTTTGTAATCAACATTTGAATTTTGCAGGGTTTGGCTTACTTGAGCAGGAAGGTGGAAAGTTTTCAGTAGCCACTACAGATTTGCTGCACTGTCACTAAATTACTGTACTAAAGTAGCTTCTTGTACCAGTTTCTTCTTAGACCTAATTCTAAAATAACCCTGGAACTTTTTTCATTACGAAAATGAGACTCGTCCCTCTGAACTTTCAGCAAGTTATGACCTCAAGTCTTAAGAAGGACTTTTGAGATGCGAGTTTAATCTCAAATTATTAGAACAGCATACACTGTGGCACTGACAAAAAAAAAAAAAAAAAAAAAAAAAAGGAAAAACATGGACAGATCCAGTATTTGAAAGAAGCAGGCAAAAAATCTCCTTTAAAGTACCTGGAAAAAGAATTACAGGTTACATCCCTAGAGAAAGAATTAAAACATAACTCCTCAGCAATATACACAGGTTAACTTTGCAATGGAAACATATCTTGGATTCCTAGACCGTTCTCTGAGTACAGTAATGCATTCCACAGCATCCCAAAATGGACATGAGTCCCCTTGTACTAGGGATTTGTGCCATGGCGTGAGTGTTCCCGAACGCAGAGTTCCTGTCCCTTCACACACTGAGCGTGAGGTGAAGGCAGCCAACTCATTGTTAAGCAGAGACATGGGGCCTTCATTAAAACACCACAATGAAGATTGTCTATGTTTCAGAGGGAGCTCACACTTGAAAATTGCTAGGAAAAATAGGACACAAATAGCATTTTCAAAAATACAAAAAAAAAAAAAAAAAACTTCAGTGGATTTTCCTTTAGACTATTAAAAGAAGGATTGCCTCTTCCTGAAAATGGAGGGAGCTGAGAAGGATTCACCATACATCGCAGCAAATAAAGCTCTCTTTAAAACAGAAAACATATAACAGAAATTATCTGTCGATGTGTTCCACCCCTTCTTTACCAAAATTCCTGTGATTTCAGCTGCCATCAGAGCATTCAGTGAAGGAGAAGAGGGAGCCTAAAAGGCTAATAGTCCACCAGCGCCACTAGACATCCCAGATCGCAAAGGCCAGTTTACCTCCTGGTGAACTTGGTATTTTAGATGGTGAGCCGGAAGGAGTCCACCTTAAGTAAGATAGGTAGGAAAATCCAAATAACTGCAAGGAGAGTACAGGTAATATTTTTGTTACCTAACACATCAAATAGTTTCACAACTGGTCTCTCAAAAACAAAGGAGAAAAAGCCCATCAAAATGCTGAATTTGGCTTCCACAATGCAAAGAACAGCTGGAGCATTTCTGCATGACTTAGTTTACTGCAGCAACAAACCCTGTGGACATAAAAAAAAAAAAAAAAAAAAAAAAAAGGCAGAAAGACAGCATTGCTGCCAAGGACTGTGAATTTTTTTCCCCCTAAGGCTGTTTTCTGGCTGGATCATATCAAAGACACAAAACAATGTGCTTCCCTCTTGTCTGAAGATAGAGGGCTACAGCTTTGGTGAAACAATGCATATGTCTCTCCAACAGGCAGCCTGTCCTTTCAGAAAAAAAAAAAAGTCTCAACCAATTCCCTGAAGAGATATTAGATAATGTGAAGCAGATTTAGGGTGGGATTTTTAGGAGAAATTTGTATGATTGTTTTAAAGGAAAACTTTCTCCACAGTGCTTTTCTAATAAAATGGGTCTCTAAATATGCCAGAATCAAACTGCTCCAGCCCTAAAGCAACTATTTGTTTTCTGCTCAGTCTATTTCTCTTCTCAGCAGATGGGAAGTTTCCCAGTTGACTTCCCTTTTCTCTTGCAGTTAAAGAGTCAGTCCCAATGACCAATTCTTTAAGGGTTAATTTGAGGACGCAGATGCCCACATGCCACACAGGAGTTTACACTGCTATCATTTGTTACCAAATTAACTACACACTTAACTTTGTTCAGAGACATCAAAGCAGTTTTGAGGTTCTTTCTCAGAAACAGCATTTTTCTTACCCACTCACACCTTCTTCAAGCAGGGCTATGTTAATTCATACCAGTAGCCTTGTACCTATTCAATAGCTCACATGAAAGAAATTTACCCAATTGCTAGGCTCAACACCTACATGGAAAACATTAACAATTTCTCTCCCAGAAAATAAAAAAAATAAAAATAGAAGTCTCATCCCTTGAGCTGGCCTGTATAACATTCAACCCCTTGAGTGTGTTGCCTGGTGTTGCCTGCCTGCTCACACTGCAGGCTACCTGCTACCAACACACAAGTGAGTTCCTACCTGTCCACTGCTCCACAGTAAACACAAGGTTGGCTGAGGTAGCCTATCTCTCAGAAAAAGGTGGGGGAGAGGAGGAAAAGGTTGTGTGGGTGTTTATTTTTGTCAAAATTAGGTTGACGGTTGGACAAGATGATTTTTAAGGTCCCTTCCAACCTAGAAGATTCTGTGATTGCAGCAGTCTAGAACACAAAAAAGGAGCACAGATTTTCTTCATGGTATAACTGATACATAGCAACTTATCTTTATGTATTACATGCGCTTGAGAAAGCAGGGGCTATCCTTGCCAGCTGCTCAACAGAGCCATAAACATCCTGGACCGGAGTTTCACGACTTTCCCTCGTAAACCAGGAGATGGGGCAGAGGAGCCGGGCAGAAATCCCACCTGAGACAAACATGGTACGTCGTAGGAAGCAGGAAAGCTCAGAGGCAGAAGCTGACCTGTAGCATCTAATAAATAACTTCAGTTAAGGTCTGGGCTGGCATTCCCAGCAGCTAAACAGGCTGGAGTAAGAGAGTACCACGTTTACAGGTTACCTGAACCAGCAGCGACCTGAGTAACCTGTTTACCACACGTGCTCTGCTGCCCCAAAGTAGTACTGCATCAACACTTCTGCTGGCCTTGGAGAACACAGGTGCCACAGAGGTAACTCTATAATCATCACTACCGTAAAAGTCCAATTTGAGGTGCAAGGTTCAAGTCAGTCACTCAAAGGAGTTGTCATGAACACATAATGCACTTTTTTTTTTTATCTGGGATTTCAGGAATCGCTCCAGTTCTGGTCTTCATTTTACTGCAGCATCAGAAAAAGAAGCTTGTTCCGCAATACGTTCTTCTCGATTCTTTTCTAAAGGACTGCTGAAGGAGACATGAGAGAAGTAAGTAACCTCACAGCATGCAGTTCAGCAGAAGAAACAGAGAACTACTCTGCATCGGCCAGTCAGAAATGTAATGCTACTGTGGGCTATTACAGAGCCAGCAACTGGAGTACTGAAGGCCAACTGAAGCCAAAGGGTGCTGTGAGTGAGACAGTGTTTTAGAGTACTAGATCAATTTAGTTGCTGGTTTTATTTTTAACCATTCTTCCCCCCCACCCCAAGCATATAGCCCTATATGACCTATCAGGTCACAGACTGGGGAGGGGGGGGAAGGGAAGAGAGGGGGATAGGCAGGGAGAGCAGAAGAAAGAGGATGCAGCTTTACTGCAGTGCTCATTCAGCACTCTGTAAACACAACAGAAGCTACAGTGCTGCTGAATTGCAAAGCAAGAGGAAGGTGGCTTATTTTCTGAAATCCTGATTTTCTGATTCTGAAATAACCACTACCAGTGCCTCAGCAA